CACACCACAAAAAAACACTACACAATTCATAAGTACACAAAATCAAACAAGGTTGTTACAACCGAAACCTATTAATTATCAGTGTATAAACACATGTCAGTTCAATCACGATAATATTATTAATGTTCATGTATTGTCATAAAGGTTCAATTTACACTGGGAAACATGCAACAAAGTGAAATTAATTCTCAAGTTGAATTGTATGTTCACTCAACCTACAATTCAAGTGAGTGAACATACAATTCACTTGAAATACATGTGGCTTATCTACGTATATGCCCAAATGTTGGAGAAACTCCACAATCCCTATTGCAGCTGGTTGCCTTACAATTGTATCGTGGAATCAACTTTAATGCTTTGTACAAAACTGACAATCCTATGCAGCTGCTTGCCTTACAATTGTACGTTGCATTAACTTTTTTTTCAGGGCAGGTGGCTGTCAGTCATTTGCTTCTTTATGCAGTTTTGTTTGGTAACCTAACACAGACAGCTTGGGATACCCCCAGGTAAGTGGCTCTCTGGCCTATCAAAGACATAAATCAATAATTGAGCTACAAGGAAGAAGAACCAGCACTACCACAGACCTTGAGCTCTAGGTTTGAATTCCCTGACCTAGTCCGAGTTATATAATTGGCATGGAAACATCAGACTTAAAAAGAATGTGATTTAGCTTCTATTAAGACAATGATGTATTTTCATCCACCTCAGGGAGGACCTCAATTATAAGCGAGTTATCTCAGGGGCAGTCTTACATTCTTGACTTCCCAACCCCCCCACCCCTTAAATTATGGGCCAGTTAAGGTGCCAGATTTGTACACACGTACAGGAGATACACATACAAAACTGTTGTGCAGTGGGCGTTGGCCCTTACTGCATGGCCACCGTCAGTCTGACAGTCCTTACATTCTACCTATAAAATCGTGTTGTATTGCCAAAGAGAATACTCTGTTTGTATAAACCATACCTCCCTAAGAAGAATTCTGAAGGCAACCCTCTCCCTTTATAACAAATGAGTCAATCTGCCCCATATCTCTTACACTTAGTTAGTTATAATACTGAATTAATGTTTTTAAAATGTTTATTTATTTAATACTGCTCAGGAGTGCGCGGTCTTCAACAATTACATTTGACCTGGGAGTGCCTGTCTTAACATCTACTCGTTCTTGAGTCAGAGTGTTCTCACGTTCTGTTTCCAAGCCTGGCACACTCAACTATCCATCTCAAACAAAAACCAACTACATCATCAGGTCGTCAATACAGATCCCATGTACACAAAACTGGCAAAACGTAGAAATCATATTGTCCCCACAGTATCAGACAATTAAACAAATAACTGCTCAAATGTTTGCTTACCCCATGAACTACAGAACGTGTTGTTTTTTGTTGTTGTAATTTTCCTTGTGATTTACATTGCTGTATGTAGGGCTATTTATGTATTTATGCAGTATATGTGGTGATGCTGATGTTGAGTTTGAGATGAGATGTAAGACAAATTTCCCGAAAGGGATACACCATAAAGAAATTATAACTGGGGGGCTCAGCAGCCAAAAGTCCACTGTTGGTGCAATAAGGAAAAAGTTAGAAACATTGCAGCATCATCAATGAGACTTTAGCTGCATGTAGCAGGTATTCTAAACCTTTTTTCCCTACTGCTCTGCTGCTTCTCTATTTGCTACTCATCACATTTAACGAGGGCTGCACCTACTTACATTTTCTTTAGCTAAAGCAGGATTTTCACCATTCTTACATTCACTATCATTACTTTTAAAATGCTTTGGGTTCTCACCATCATTGTCTTTCTCACACCCCTGAAGTTTAAAACTGAGAAGAATGTTTTTTAAGGACTAAACTCCCGGGGCGTAAGCACATGCCCATAGTATGATCATTAAACCCAACCTTTAAAAATGTGTTCTCATCACTTCTTTGGGGAGCGGCTTCACATGTGTTGGATTGTGTGCATGATCTATCTAAATAAAAGAACAAACGTATTTGTCATCTCTGTGGTGAGATTAATAAGCCACTTTTACCTCAGCAATAAGTCACTGTAATGACTGGAAAGAGACAGTTCCTAACGCCCATCCACAGTTACAAGTGAAATGAAGTTGTAATTGTGGTTCTGAACCCAGAGACAATGTAGAGCTAATCTGTGGTTACTCTTGTTCATGGAAGTGCAGGTATAGGTAGACCTAATGCAGTGTATTTGAAGTATACCCTTGAAGTATTTTGAATATAATATATAGAATAATATCTGCCATTTAGCAGACATTTCTATCCAAAGTGACTTAGTAACGCATGCATACATTTTTTACATATGGGAGGTCCCAGGAATCAAACCCACTATCCTGGCGTTACAAGCTCCATGCTCTTACAACTGAGCTAAAGAGGATGATAATTAATGAAGTGTTTTTTAAACATGCCAACTCACAGCAAAATAAGCTATACCAGCAGTGTTACTACAGTAGGCCTTCACTTTAGAATGTTCAGCTGAGTTTAAACGTAAAACTCCCAAATACTGCCGGAGATGTGACATGCAATGATTCATTGAAAGTATAACAAAACAGTCCCTTAACATCAATAGTACATCTTCTGCCAGAGGCTCATTTAGCCCACTCTTGCTTCTCTCATCAAATATCCTGCCAAGTGGAGATCAATTGGATTTGAGCTGGGCTGTCACTGAAACATTCACAAGAGCAAACCGCACACAGCCTGTATCAACAGGCAAGCTGAAATGTCACATGTCATATCTGAGAAGATCAGATAAGATCCTGTAGCAGGCTGATTCTCATCAATCTTAATCGTGGGGACCATGGTGCCAATGCTAGAGATTAAGATACTATAGTCATTAGGCATTGAGAGTGTATACATGAACGTTTGAAAATATTTGATGATGATTTACATTCATCCACATGAAACAAAATACATGATGTTGAAGCATGTACAGTATTTGTACAGCACTGCATCTTCTCAGCAATGCAAACTCAAGTCAACAGTATAGTCACACAAGAGTCGTAGAGTCTTTATTATCCCCAGGGGGCAGAACACAGTAAAAACAATACACATGACAATAAATACACACAAAAACAAACAATATATATACAACAACACGTACACAGGAAGTAGACCTCTAAACCAGAGCAGGATTCCCCATCTGGCCTCCCAAGTTTTCTGAACCAAATTTTATAAAATGTTTTATTGTTGGACATAAAAGACTGTGAAAACACAGAAAATCAACTCCAAGTGATTTCAATTTTGGAAATCTATTCCAAGGTGTTCCCATGCATAATAGAGAGATATTGGGCTCCCGAATGGCGCAGCGGTCTAAGGCACTACAGACCCCCTGGTTCAATTCCAGGCTGTATCCCAACCGGCTGTGATTGGGAGTCCCATCGGGTGGCGCACAATTGGCCCAGCGTCATCCGGGTTTGGCCGGTGTAGGCCGTCATTGTAAATAGGAATTTGTTCTTAACTGACTTGCCTAGTTAAATACAAATGTAAATACACTGAGTGTACAAAACATTAGGATTAGGAACTCCTAATATTCAGTTGCACCCCCTTTTGCCATCAGAACAGCCTCAGTTCGTTGGGGCATGGACTCTACAAGGTGTTTGAAAGCATTCCACATTATGCTGGCCCATGTTGACTCCAATGCTTCCCACGGTTGTGTCACGTTGGCTGGATGTCCTTGGGTGGTGGACCATTCTTGATACACACGGGAAACTGTTGAGCGTGAAAAACCCAGCAGTGTTGCACTCAAACCGGTGTGCCTGGCACCTACAGTACTACCACACCCCATTCAAAGGCACTTCAGTCTTTTGCCTTGTCCATTCACCCGGTGAATGTCACACATACACAATCCATGTCTCAATTGTCTCAAGGCTTAAAAATCATTCTTTAACCTGTCTCCTCCCCTTCCTCTACACTGGATTTAACAAGTGACATCAATAAGAGATCACAGCTTTCAAATGGATTTACCTGGTCTGTCTACAGTATGTCATGGAAAGAGCAGGTGGTCCTAATGTTTTGTACACTCAGTGTATGTGATCATACACAACAAATGTAAGCAAGGTTTGAAATTATTATGTTTTAGTCAAATGTTATATTTGTTTGGGCTTCTTGCGGTCAATTTGCAGTAAACATTTTTTTGCAATTATGTTCCTGCCCCTTGACCATCCCCTCAAGACAAAATTGGCTTAATCTAATTGGTGATCCCTGAAGTAGAGTTTAGACCTATTTGTTTTAAACCTAGGGAGCCTATATCTGCACTCTGAGAGAACAACAGAAATTCATCAAACAGGGGATGCTAGGAGTCCCTCAAAATGCATTGCACCTTCCGTATGACTCGTGTCTGATACAGGTGAGTAAGTTCGTACCAATGATCCTGCTACCTAGTTTCACAATGTTTCCCAGCCTGTTCTTGCTCTCTAGGTTTAGATTACCGAACCAGCAGATCATATTGAATGTTAGCTCTTGTGTATGAGCATTCATATACAGTACTGTATTTGCATAAGGTACATTTTCTTACAACCATACTGTAAAGACCATGCAGACCTTTACATTGAAATGACATTGACAATGTCTCTGATGTCAGGTTTCCTTTTTCTGACATTACCATGTTTGGGAATAAAATGTTCTTAGAAGCCCTGTGTGTGTGTGTGATGGCGTGGTGAGTGTGTCCCACCCATTTGGGTGAAATTCACCTGCACCCTGCGGACATTTTAGGTGTACTACAGACAGAGGGATGTCTCCTCCTGTGCCAAGCCCGAACAAGTATTTACTGCTTATTTGAATAAGTCTGAACAGGTACTTTGTTCTCATTTTCACTACCGCTGTCCTGTCTTCTAAACTGTCAATGAAATAGTTCCATGTTTACGCTTCTGTTTTGCACACTAAACCAACTTAAAGGTAACCCTGAAATAGCCTTTAAGGTATAGGAGCATTTACAGTGAAAGAACAAACCACTGAATGTTGGATACAGTGTGATCGCAAAAAACCTATTCAGGATGTTGGCATCTTTTGGCACCAAAGCGGTAAGTGGTATGCTTCCCCCTGGCAGCCCATACAGTAACAGGCCTACACACAGAACACTGTGCCATATGCCATAGATTATGACTGGAAGGCTTGGGGCATGCTACCACCTCTCCTAACCTCAGCTTCTCTCCTATGCCTTTCACCAGGAGAAGATGAGCCAATAAACAAATTAGACTCATACAGGATGCTACTTGTCGGGACAAAAATGAATCATAGTCTTGTTATTTCTGTTATTATAACACTGTCAAAGTTGCAGTAAACTGTGCCAAAAGCAGCGTCCCTTCAGAGCACCAACAACTCAACCCAGAGTAAATATCTTTCTCTATGCTTTATTCCCCTATGCTGGTTCTCTCTGTGGATGAGATCACTTACAGTATGTGTACCTACAGCACTGAGCTCTTCATGTTTTGACTTGACAGGGTAACTATAGCAACACAAGGTCTACAATCAATCATAGATGTATGACTCTTGTATTGTCTATGCCTAGAATAAAGTTAGCCTTCTTCAATGCCTTTTCTGCATCCCCTACATATCTCCATTGCCCCCCCACAGTTTAGCTCTTTTTCAACCTTTTGTCATTCCCTCAACCAAGATCAAGAGTAGCCCTAGATCAACTCCCCGCAACCACAAGACAGAAAACATACAGGAGAGAGGTTGAGACAGAGGCAGGCAGTAGCATTACCCCCTGCGCTGCAAAGCCACCTACAGAACGTGTTGATCAGAATGAAGTGTCAACGTATCTCTGTCCCGCCACTATGAGGTAGGAAGAACCCTCAGGATAGTGCTGCAGAAATGCAACCCACATTGTAATTGTGGATTTATCTATCTGTACATATGTAATAAAAGTGTCATAGACCCTAACCAACACCAATAAATGTAAACGAAACATCTAACTATTCAGGCAAAATGATGGCCAGTCCAGTCTCCAGGATGACCAGTCCAGTCTGTGTGTCCATGAGTGAAACATTGAGCAGAGAACAGAGATGAGTTTGTTTTTTTCAGACATTCCTAGTCTCTGTCTCTGTTGAGATGAGAAAGATGATAGCCTCTTCTGATGAGAGATTAGGAGGCGTGGGACAGTCTTCAGCAAATGTTACTCACTCAATATTCCCAGCACAACAAAGTATATTATGCTATACTATACCGTCCATGCAGCAGTGGCGTCTGCTGAGGGGAGGACGGCTCCATTCCAGCCATTATTATGAGCCGTCCTCCACTCAGCAGCCTCCACCATGGAAACCATGTGTTTGATGTATTTATACCATTCCACCGATTCCGCTCCCAGCCATTACCATGAGCCCGTTCTCCCCAATTAAGGTGCTACCAACCTCCTGTGCCATGCAGATATTAGTCTGTGCTCAATCATGCAAAGAGTAGCTGACCTTTTGGTTATCATTGTTTTCCTAAAAAAAATCCAGATGTAACTATGTGATGAACATTTAATCTTCAGTACACATGAGAAAGTAATGACTCTGAGCAACCTCGTCCCCCCTCTCCCCGGCACTAACTGAATGGTTTTGTCAATCTTACTTTCCCCGCCTCTCCCCCTGGGGTCCTTCTGACATTCCTCTGTGTTTGCACCTGGGTGTGCCGGAGCCTGATCAGTTTACGGGGGGCTGGCAATGATACCTGTCTGATGACCTCGATCGCTCCAATCCTAGACAGCTAGGAGGCAGGCCGATGCTGGGGAGGAGCCCTGTGCCAGCAGGTAGATATAAGCCAGCTGCCACCAGAGAGGAGTCACTGAGAGGGGCTTGACTTTCCTCTTAGTAAGCTCACCTGCTTCACCATCCTCTCTGTCTCTCTCCTCTCTCCTTTTCTTTTACTCCCCTCAGAGGATCAGAAAAGCTGCAACCATGAGTTACAGGAGCAGTGGCAGCATGAGTGGAGGCTTCAGCTCCGGCGGAGGCTTCAGCTCCGGCGGTGGTGGCGGCGGCAGCATTGTGAGGAAGAGCTTCTCAAGCTTCTCCTCTTCAGCAGACCCCTGTGGGCTCCAGCCGTATGAGCAGCTCATCCGTTAGATGCTCCGGAGGAGGTGGTGGGGGCGGCTTCGGCATTGGGCGGTGGTGGAAGTGGAGGAGGCTCCAGCTTCAGCTATATGAAGCAGCGCTGGAGGCATGGGTGGCGGCGGTGGTGGTGGAGGAGGCTTCGGCATGGGTGGCGGCGGTGGAGGCTTTGGCCTGGGTGGCGGCGGTGGAGGCTTCGGCCTTGGTGGCGGCGGTGGAGGCTTTGGCCTGGGTGGTGGCGGCGGCGGAGGTGGCTTCGCCCCCATCACAAGCTGTCACAGTCAACTCAAGCCTGCTTGCCCCCCTCAATCTGGAGATCGACCCCAACATCCAGACTGTCCGCACCCATGAAAAAGATCAGATCAAGGGCCTCAACAACCGCTTTGCCTCCTTCATCGACAAGGTCAGTACTCCTTTATTCTCTTAAAGCCCTTCAATCTAAGAGAATGTTAAAAGTATCAAGTATGCCATGACTATGGTCCTGTCCAAGTAAATTAAAATATATTGCATTGATCATCATCTACCATATGCCAGCATACACAGGGTGCAGATATACTGCAAAGGAGATACTGCAAAGGGATACTGCAAAGTATCTGCAAAAGGACACTTTGTAATAGCAATTGATGGCTGGGATGTTGTTTTATGGTACAGGTTGCAAATAGCACACTTGAATAGTTGCAAGGCTGTGTCTCTTGTGTGCTACTGTAGGGCTCATTAATATTTCACAGCCACTGATCATGCAGCCTCTGGAAATCCGGACCATATAGGATCCAGTTAGAACTGGCTCTGAAAACAAATACACAGAATGATATAGTGACTGCACCCTACTACCTGAATGTATAAACAGGGGCATATCACCTTATCACAGGTGGTCAAAGTCCTAATGTGCAGCCTGTTGCATCAAAACTGACAGTTTAGTCGTTTTCTTCGACCGTAATTGCACTGGCTGTGAGTATGGGGAGTGGGGGGGTGAGTCCATGTACCTCTCATGAAAGGAATCGTCTGGGAGCGAGATATAAAGTGGATGGATCTCTTCATGACTGCCCCAGCCCTTAGGGAATGACTCAGCTCAGTGCCTGCCAACATAGGCCATAGAGGGCGGTGTCCCTTTTTTACAGAGGTGTGGGAGAAAGGCAGCTCTGTCTGAGAAAGTCCCAATAAAAACTTCAAGCAGTCCGTCTTCATTACCTCAGCGAATGCAAGTCTAATCTTGAACCACTAAATAAATAAACAAGTAAACCTTGCCAGGGAGATGTTGCCAAGGCAATGTCACATGATACAACCAGATATGATATAAATATGACATAACCCAATTTAAATTCTCAAACGTAATGGAAGATGTGTGCCAACCTGTTTCTAGCAGTAAATATGACACCTGATTGTAACTATTCCATTTCTCTCTCTGCACACAGGTACGCTTCCTGGAACAGCAGAACAAGATGCTGGAGACCAAGTGGAGCCTCCTGCAGGACCAGACCACCACCCGCTCCAACATTGATGCCATGGTCGAGGCCTACATTGCCAACCTGCGCAGACAGCTCGACGGCCTGGGAGGAGAGAAGGTCAAGATGGAAGGAGAGCTGACAACCATGCAGGGTCTGGTGGAGGACTTCAAGAACAAGTGAGTTTTACACAAGACATTGTATGGATGCTCTAACTGTCCTAAATGCTGGCCCATGTAAACCATATATAATCTGTTTTTGCAGATATGAAGATGAAAATCAACAGCGTGCCGCAGTGGGAGAACGAGTTTGTCCTCCTCAAGAAGGATGTTGATGGTGCCTACATGAACAAGGTTGGGTTGGAGGCCAAGGGTCGACGCCCTTCAGATGAGATCAACTTCCTCAGGGTCCATCTATGAAGCGGTGAGGGCCATGTCAAACCACAATAAGCGTAGTCTTTGAAACTCTGTTGATATAAACAACAAATGATCCACATTATGGCTTTCCTGATGTCCTTCTCTCTCCTTCTCTCTCTCCAGGAGCTGAGTGAACTGCAGGGCCAGATTAATGACACCTCAGTGGTGGTGGAGATTGGACAACAGCCGTAACCTAGACATGGACTCCATTGTGGCTGAAGTGCGCGCCCAGTATGAGGACATCGCCAACACGCAGCAGAGCCCGAGGCCGAGACATGGTACAAGCAGAAGGTATGAGGAGACTTCAGTATATTTCTATGGATTTCCTATAAATGAGAGGTGCAGTAAAGTATAATACATAGGCTTTACACTGACTAATGACTGTGGCCAATCCTGTCTTCCTTCAGTTTGAGGAGATGCAGTCCCCTCTGCAAGGACAACATGGTGAAGATCTGCCAAACACCAAGTCAGAGATTGCCGAGCTGAACCGCATGATCAGCCGTCTCCGAAACGAGATCGAAAACGTCAAGGGACAGGTATGTTCAGTAGGCTGGCAAATGACTGTCAATTCAAAATAGCATCAGGTCTGGCACACCACTAATATTCAATATAAGTTAAAATCTCAGTCTATTTCTGATCTTGTCCCTTTTCTTTACCTCGTAGCGTTCTAAGAACCCTGAAGGCCAGTGTATCACAGCACTAATCATGTGGGACATGGTGCACATACTTCGATGCAGAATTAATACTATATCATTAGGCATGAGAGTGTATACATGAACGTTGAAAATTTGATGATGATTACATCATCACATGAAACAAAATACATGATGTTGAAGCATGTACAGTATTTGTACAGCACTGCATCTTCTCAGCAATGCAACTCAAGTCAACAGTATAGTCACACAAGAGTCGTAGAGTCTTTATTATCCCCAGGGGGCAGAACACAGTAAAAACAATACACATGACAATAAATACACACAAAAACAAACAATATATATACAACAACACGTACACAGGAAGTAGACCTCTAAACCAGAGCAGGATTCCCCATCTGGCCCCCCAAGTTTTCTGAACCAAATTTTATAAAATGTTTTATTGTTGGACATAAAAGACTGTGAAAACACCAGAAAATCAACTCCAAGTGATTTCAATTTTGGAAATCTATTCCAAGGTGTTCCCATGCATAATAGAGAGATATTGGGCTCCCGAATGGCGCAGCGGTCTAAGGCACTGCATCTCACTACAGACCCCCTGGTTCAATTCCAGGCTGTATCCCAACCGGCCGTGATTGGGAGTCCCATAGGGCGGCGCACAATTGGCCCAGCGTCGTCCGGGTTTGGCCGGTGTAGGTCGTCATTGTAAATTGGAATTTGTTCTTAACTGACTTGCCTAGTTAAATACACATTTAAATACACTGAGTGTACAAAACATTAGGATTAGGAACTCCTAATATTCAGTTGCACCCCCTTTTGCCATCAGAACAGCCTCAGTTCGTTGGGGCATGGACTCTACAAGGTGTTTGAAAGCATTCCACATTATGCTGGCCCATGTTGACTCCAATGCTTCCCACGGTTGTGTCACGTTGGCTGGATGTCCTTTGGGTGGTGGACCATTCTTGATACACACGGGAAACTGTTGAGCGTGAAAAACCCAGCAGTGTTGCACTCAAACCGGTGTGCCTGGCACCTACAGTACTACCACACCCCATTCAAAGGCACTTCAGTCTTTTGCCTTGTCCATTCACCCGGTGAATGTCACACATACACAATCCATGTCTCAATTGTCTCAAGGCTTAAAAATCATTATTTAACCTGTCTCCTCCCCTTCCTCTACACTGGATTTAACAAGTGACATCAATAAGAGATCACAGCTTTCAAATGGATTTACCTGGTCTGTCTACAGTATGTCATGGAAAGAGCAGGTGGTCCTAATGTTTTGTACACTCAGTGTATGTGATCATACACAACAAATGTAAGCAAGGTTTGAAATTATTATGTTTTAGTCAAATGTTATATTTGTTTGGGCTTCTTGCGGTCAATTTGCAGTAAAATTTTTTTTGCAATTATGTTCCTGCCCCCTGACCATCCCCTCAAGAAAAAATTGGCTTAATCTAATTGGTGATCCCTGAAGTAGAGTTTAGACCTATTTGTTTTAAACCTAGGGAGCCTATATCTGCACTCTGAGAGAAACAACAGAAATTCATCAAACAGGGGATGCTAGGAGTCCCTCAAAATGCATTGCACCTTCTGTATGACTCGTGTCTGATACAGGTGAGTAAGTTCGTACCAATGATCCTGCTACCTAGTTTCACAATGTTTCCCAGCCTGTTCTTGCTCTCTAGGTTTAGATTACCGAACCAGCAGATCATATTGAATGTTAGCTCTTGTGTATGAGCATTCATATACAGTACTGTATTTGCATAAGGTACATTTTCTTACAACCATACTGTAAAGACCATGCAGACCTTTACATTGAAATGACATTGACAATGTCTCTGATGTCAGGCTTCCTTTTTCTGACATTACCATGTTTGGGAATAAAATGTTCTTAGAAGCCCTGTGTGTGTGTGTGTGATGGCGTGGTGAGTGTGTCCCACCCATTTGGGTGAAATTCACCTGCACCCTCGGACATTTTAGGTGTACTAC